CCCCAAAACCCCAAAACCCCAAAACCCCGAATATCAATATTTGGGTCATTTTTGAGGAAAATTTAATAAATTAATCTATGTTTAACTATATTTATTGCATTGATATTTATCATTAAGAACAGCAGAATATCTTTAGCAAAACAATTCCTTTTACTTTACTTTTAATAAAAATTAGTTTCTTGATAATTAAAATGGGTGATTAAATATTAAATCTTATTAAAATGTCATATCATATTGCCTTCTTTGAAAAGAGATTTGCTTATTATCAATCTATCTTAGTACTTTTACTCTCATTTTTACCTTTCTTGCAAGTAATAAGTCTATAGATCTTAACTAGAATTGCAATAACAGATGCTATCATTGCAATTAGTATAAGATCGATAGCGATGTTCACATCCACATCATATAGTTGAAGATAATTGAACGATTAATATTGTTTTGCTGAAATGAACTCGCTCGTTCCAATTTCCAGCAAATAGTCAATCCAGTAAAGCAATCCCAATCCTTGCTACTTCTTTTTATCAATCATTTTCTTGAGAATCATAAGTCTGTCACTGAAGCCATTGTTTTCCTCAATATGTTTTATTTACTTATCAAAATGATCTACATCAGGATAATATAGACATGCACCAAGCCTCTAAGCTTAAACATATTCGCATGTAAAAGGCTGATCTACAGCTAAAGTTGGAATTATTAGCAAAGGCTTTTCAGCTTCAATTGACTCTTTTAAGCTCGACTAGCCGCCATGATTAAAGAATATCTTAACCTTTGGATTATTTAGGATTTAAATTTGTGGGATCCATTTAGCTAAATAAACATTATTAAGGCTCTTAATTCTTTCTAATGTGTCCTTTTCAAGGTATTACTGATTAGTAGCTGAGTATATAAATCCATAATCAGTTTATTTTTGCATGTAAATAGAGAGAGCTTTTAGAGTATCACTTTTGGGGCTAAGGCCAGTACCAAAGGAGACAAGAATCAGCTTTTAGTGATTTTCCATGAAATCTTAGAGATCTTAAGAAATCGTCTAAGTCTCAGATTCATTCTCAGTCAATGGAGGAATTATTCTTGAGTTTGGTGACAGAGCCATTGGCTGTGATAAACCTTCATAACCTGTATAAAGGATCATATCAGGCGCTCTGAAGGTCATAGCATCTTATCTAAGATGCTCTGGTATCTCTTTATATAATTTTTAATGAATTAAATAAGAACCGAGACCGCAAAAGATATGTTCAGCAAGTCTATTTCTCAATCTAGTGAAAAAACTAGTTGTAAAAGATTGTAGATCCGAATAATTTTCCATTCCAAAAATAACAGCTCTCATAGAATGGAGCTATGACGAATGTTAAGGTTGCTATTTCATCATAAGTTACATTGAACTGTCTAAATTTGAAGTAAATAACCTGATATAAAGAGGAATTTAAAGAGTATTGACTATAAGCTGAGACTCAAAGAAAATTTCACATAGTACTAAGTCAAAGTTAATTGACTTTATTTCTCTTATAAGTTCTTCCTGGCTGTAAAAAGCCTTAGTTAGAAATTACATATACTCAATAACTCCAGACTCTCCAAGGGCATTTTATTTTAACTTATCTTCAAATTCTTCAATTTATTATTAAAAAAGATTCTTGCTTATAATTGGTATCACCCCATTAGCCATAACTTTGGAGATGTATGGGGAACCTGTTGGCCAAATTTGATATACCTCATAGTTTTCGTTCTTTTTCAACTCGCGAGATATTTGATACCATAATCTTGGATGACTTAATATGTATTACCCAGCTAAAAGAATCTTTTTCTTTGGTTAGTTCTCTGATTGCCTTTTAGTTGCCGAAATAAAAGACTCTTATTATAAGTATGCATTTTGTACTAGTAAAGAAAAAAGACAAATGAGAATATATTAATTCACCATATACAATCCTTAATTTCTCTAAAATTATATTACACACGCTCAAAAAAATGATAGGTCACAAGGGGTTTTGGGGTTTTGGGGTTTTGGGG